TGGATGTTAGCAGCATTTCTATTGGCTGCTGGATGTTAGCAGCATTTCTATTGGGTCTGCTGGATGTTAGCAGCATTTCTATTGGGTCTGCTGGATGTTAGCAGCATTTCTATTGGGTCTGCTGGATGTTAGCATCATTTCTATTTGCTGCTAGATGTTAGCAGCATTTCTATTGGGTCTGCTGGATGTTAGCAGCATTTCTATTGGCTGCTGGCTGTTAGCAGCATTTCTATTGGCCGCTGGCTGTTAGCAGCATTTCTATTGGCCGCTGGCTGTTAGCAGCATTTCTATTGGTCAATATATAGGAAGTGTTTGTTTTGGGCTTAAAGTGAAGAGAATTTGATCGGGAAAACAATTTGGAAAGAATACCATTCTTAAAGCTATTTAAAAGGGAGAAATAAAAAAAAAAAACAATTACTTTTTAAAATATAAAATATAAAAATCTTTTTATTTTTTCAAAATATTATGCTAAGAAAAAAACTAAGAAAACGGCAAAAGTTCCTCAAACCTTTTTATGATTAAGGTTTTTTATGATTGAGGTTTTTTAAGATGTCTTTTTCTGGATTGTGTTCTAAGTTTCCATTTAGAAACAGTGTTCTTTGCTTATAACTATAATGGATCAAAGTTCACTTCATAACAGTGCTCTACCATAGAGACATATTTTAATTAAACCCAGCAGAATGTGGCATTTCTCTCCGCTTATTTTGAACTTCTGCACATTGCTGCAATTGGGGGAAAATAGACCTTCACTGATCAGGATTCTAGGAGCTGTTCATAGATCACAAAAATCACAGCATCAAATCCATAAATACTACATTGTATTATTAGGCATCAAAATTATAGGAAAGTATCATAAATTGACAACTGCTTTAGTGAGATGTTGATTTTTCAAATCAACTTGGACGATATAGAAAATAATGTTGAGAATGGATGATGCTAGAATGTTTTATAAAGCCGCTTAAATTTAGCCCTAAACCAGGCATCCCGTAACTCGGCCCCCGAGGGTCACTGCCCTGCAGGTTTTAGAGGTTTCCCTGTTTCAGCACAGCTGATTCTGATGATCTCAATTCAGCAAAAGCCTTTTAATCAGCTGTCAATGGAAACCAGGCTTCGGTTGTTCTTTGAGAATGCATCAAATTAAAAGAGGTGATTTATCACATGGGGTCCCCAGATGAGGCTCATCCTGTGTCAATCGGGCTTTATTCTAGGAGCACCTTACAGGAGCAGTCCTAGGTCTGGGTTAATGTTTCTCTTTATTCATTGGACTTTCATTGAATTCCTCTTAAAACTGTTGTCTTTATTAATTTTGCAAGTAGCAGTCCCAGTAGACGCTGCATATTGTAAAAGGTCCTTGAGTAGAATTTAGATGCATACTGTTGAATATAAAGGAGCTGATTGTGTCTCAGAAAGGAGTTTATGAAACAGTCCCCCCCCCCCCTCCTCTGCTTTTGACCATTGCTGCTCTCTGAGCCTCAGTGGCTGCTCTGGGAAACTGGCTCTATTCTGCCCTCTGCAGCCACCCCAGTGAACTGCATGTGATTTAAACCTCATCTGTCTGGAGATGCACATATTACCCTTCCACACAGGAAATTTAGCATCTTTTTTGTTATTATCAACATTGTTTGTTTCAGCCCTATTTCAATTCTATTCAGTTTATTTCTATAGCGCCAATTTACAACACATGTCATCTCAAGGCACTTTACAGTTCAACCAGATCAGAACGTTAGAGATTGAACTGACAGATTCTGCAGAGTGGGAGAATAGAATGATTAAAAAGGGGTCCCTATGTCCTCCAGCAGTCTTAGCCTATAGCAGCATAACTATAGAGATAGCTCAGGATAACCTGAGCCACTCTAACTAGAAGCTTTATCAAAAATTAATTTTTTAAGCCTAGTCTTAAAAGCAGACAGGGTGTCTGCATCACGGACTAAGACTGGTAGTTGGTTCCGCAGGAGAGGAGCCTGATGATATTTCATAGTATTTCTATCTGTTTGCAGGACCGCACTTAAACCCCAGTGTAATCCATAACTTCTATGACAACATTGGGTTCCTTGGTCCCGTCCCACCCAAACCCAAAGGTAACGTGTCTGTTGGTAAGAACTCGTCTTTACTCCATCACTGTTTGCATGCGCAGTAGGAAGATAATTTAGTCCCTTTGCTGTTGTAAGCAAACATGTTTTGCAAATGGAAATCAGACATTAAACTTTGAAAAACCCAAGTTTATAGATAGGAAGGAAGAACTTTATTTGCACTAACACTACACTTCCCTGTCACACATGCCTGATTTCCCCGTTTTCTGTGTTTCCTCTCAGACCCAGGGAGTAAGATTGTGAAGCCCAGCGCGGAGCAAGAGGAGGACGAGGGCACCCAGTGGAACTGCACAGCCTGCACCTTCCTCAACCACCCCGCCCTCAACCGCTGTGAACAGTGCGAGTTCCCGCGGAACTTCTGAGCCAACGGGCGCGTCGCCCTTCCTCTGCACAACTGATGTCTCCCAGAGCAGAGCAGACTTTTTGTTTTCCTTCGCTTTTTCGGAGAGGAAAGCGATAAGAGAAAGCGGACAGCACACGGCCTACTTTTCTCGGTTCTTCCTCTAAGTTTGTAGTAACGCTGTCCGGCGAAGGCCCGACCACTCAGTGGGATCGTAGCTCACCTTGGAGGCTGGGACGGTTCCCCTGCTCTGCTCGCTGGGGGACACTTCACTCCGGATACTCTGCTGCTTCCACTCACAGTATTACGAGCGTGGCCCTGCAGTGGCAGCGCACGTGTGCCCGCATGCACAAACAATCCCCGTGCCGGTGTGCCTTTACCCCCTGATTGCATATTTGAGAGTTTGGTTTTTTTTCAGTTCCTCTGTGATGGCCTGACCTGGTAAAGGGACGTGTGCTCAGCCACTGAAGGAAACACAAGAAGAAAAAAGGGACTGTCTCACCAGCGCCCCCTCTCTGTCCTCTTTGTCACGACTCGGTGAAAACATGGAAAAACAAGTTGCATGCTTTGTGTACAGTACGTCAAGCAGAAGCTCTCCTCGAGCTCTTTGCTGTACAGAATTTTAGACTGTTGCTTTTAAACCTTTTCTCCTCACACTATGAATCGCTCGTTTCCTGTAAGTATAGCTCTATAGACTTTTTATCAGCTACTTTTGTCTCTGTTTCCTCAAACAGACAAGCACCATTTTTTTTTTTTTTTTAAAGCTTTTTACTTGATACCTGTGAGAAGCCGAAGCTTTGCAGAAGGAGACGAGCAGAGCTGGTAAAACGCTCACAGTAATCATGAAGCTACACGTGTCGGTCCGTTCAGATGCTTGTCTATTTGCCGGGTGTACGATCTGTTAATGTAAAGGCGGTGGAGAAGTTTTTGTTGTTTTTTGTTTTGTTCTTCAGGACATATTAGAGACTTTCTGGGGTTTTTTGGGGGTGGAGATGCTGGGTTAAAGAAAAGAAAAAAAAGACAAACTGCCATCCTATCTGACAACTGGAATGTAGGATTGATGTTTGGGGACAACTACACCTCAGTGCGAAGAGACTCATTTTGTAACCCGCCATGATAGGTTTCAGCGCTCGTGGGAGAAGAGGTTCTTCCCATGCAGCCATGAGTGGAGCTTCCAGAGTTTAAAATGACCTGGTGTTGGATTAAAATGTCTTTCCTCTGTTTGAATGATTGTTCTGTGACCCTTGTGCCTTATACAGCTCTGACACAGAGAAGCCCCGCCCTCGTAATGTAAGCACACCATGTCCACTCTGTATTGCCTTATTTTTATTGGCTCATTTTATCCTCTTAACCTTTTTATCAGAGAGGAAGCTTCTAAAGTTTACTCACCATGATTAAGATATCGTAACCTTGAGATAGTTTTGACTTTTTTCCTCGTTTTGTTCACTGGTGCCTTTCAATTTATATTGACAATCAGTAAAATTTCAAGTGCCATTTCTATTTTTTTTTTAAAAACCAAATTCTTAGTATTATGTAATCCCATTTAGAAGTAGAAGAAGAATTATCGTCTCTTTAGCACTTACATCTTTGTTCTTCCTTTTCCAACCCAAAGAATCCAGTTTTCAGCTTTTTCTTGCACCTTGGTGTGAAGAGGCAGTTCATTCATGTTTTATTAAACAGAGGAAAAAGTCATTTGGATATCTAAATTTTTTTTTTTTTTTTTTTTTTTTTTTTTTTTTGGATTTTAGCTGGGAAAACTGTCTTTGTAACAGATAAGTTATTTGTAAAAATAAAAAAAATGTTCTGAATATTGTTGTGCCTTCAGAATACTCTCTCTCTCCACTAGGTGGCGGTATAGCACTCTGTCTGGACAGATTACTGATTACTTTGTTTACTTCCTGGTTGTTTTTACACCAGCATTAACAGGTGGAACTCGGGGAATTGGAATATAGCTAGAAATTAGCTGTTAAACTGATTTTAGTTTTTCAGGTTTCTAATAAAAACCCCAAAGTAGGAAGAATTCGATCAGAATTAGATTAGAATACAAATAAAAACAGATTTTATCCCAGAAATGTTGTTCTTTCAGTCACAATCATGAAGATGTTCATGAATAAAGATCCAAGCATTTTAATGGAAAGTTTAGTGGAAGGAAGATGTAGCATCAGGGATAACTATACCTCTAGAGCAGGCATCCCCAAACTCGGTCCTCGAGGCCCGCTGTCCTGCAGGTTTTAGAGGTTTCTCTGCTTCAGCACAGCTGGTTATAATGACTGCAGTAGACCAAAAGCCTGTTAATCAGCTGTCAATTAAAATCAGCTGTGCTGGAGCAAGGAAACCTCTAAAACCTGCAGGGCAGGGGGCCTCGAGGACAGAGTTTGGGGATGCCTGCTTTAGAGGATTGTAAAGCAAAGCCATACAGCTGGGATCTGATTCACCACCAGAAATAGACCACAGCTGTTAGATCTTAGAGAAATCAGGAGAATATTAACTAGGCAGAGGAGAGGCAGACCGTTCCCAGGTGGTTCACCTCATCTCTTCAGATTAATCTGAATTTTGTATTTCAGTAATAAATCAAGTCCAGAGGTTAAGATCATCTTTCTGCCATTAAGATTTTTATCTATCGATACTTCTCGCTGCTGAAAAGCTTGGCTCTCTTCCTCACTGCCAAAGGTAATAATAGCTGCTTTAATGCCCCAAGTTTACAAGGGTGTGGCCTTCATGCCACAAAAAGGAGTCCAGGCAGTTTCAGTATTGGACTCTAGTAATATTACATTTTTTAAGAAGCCAGAGTACCCTGAGAGAACCCACACCTGCTCCGGGAAAACATGCAAACTCCATGCAGCAATACTGTACCACCCACTTGGAATCGAACCTGGAACCTTCTTGTTGCAAGGCAACAGTACAAACAGACCCAATTAAAAGTTTGTCTGGCTTCTAATTATGTATTAAAATAGTACTTTTACTTTCCCCGTTATTGTGAACTATTGAAGTATTCTTTCTATCAGTAACTTTCACTTTAATTACACAAATTTTCTGTTAAGATGTTTTTTTATACACCTCAGCTTCTGGCCCACATAATGGTACCAGAGTTAAGTTATGACCCAAACTATTAGCTTAGTTTAAAAACATTTCTACCAAATCCATTAACCACAAGTTTAATAATATTGCCAACTGCATCAACAACCAAAATAGGCATTTTTCAATGATGCTTTCACTGCTTCAACATAAATGTTAGCGGTTTGGTTTAATTTCTGTAGTGGAAATTTAAGACCCCATGAAGGGCAATCAAGGACCCTGAGTGGGGTCACGACCCCGACCAATGCAATGGATTCTAGAGTGTCCTCTGGAGAGATGAATACCAGGGATGTATTTGGCAGGAGAACATTAACTGATTGACTATATTACTCTAAAGTAAAGTTTGGTGGGGGAGGGGTTGTTTTTCAGGAGCTCGACGTGGTGAAAGGATCACTGAATAGGAGGTTATCCTCCCAAATCCTTGGGAAGGAGGTTGAATATGGATCCCTAGTTTCTTTCAACATGACTGTTTAACAGAGCAGTCCTTTTACAGAGCACCTTTTAAATGAATTAAAGCAGAGACATCACTCATATACAGTAGAAGCCATTCAAAATTCCCCCACTTTCCTTGGTTGGTCCCCTACAATTCCTTTTTAAACATCAATATTTGTACTAAATGATTTGTGGACATTAAGATCTAAAGAGAAGCTCCATCTCCTGGTCAGATCCTGTAGTTCAGTGAAAGGTTGGAGTCAGAGTAAAGAAATATGCAAATGGGGGTCACTCCAGAGGCTGGAAGTTTTAGGGTATTTCGCTGGGAGTTGTAGGGAAGTGGGCTGCCATTCGACTGCCGTTTGACTGGGAAAGGCTATTTTGAATGGCTGCTACTGTATGGACCACTAGATAAATGGTTCTAATTTCTAATGTATAAGCTGCTAAACTGTTAAGTTATATCTACAAAAAAGACCAAAAACTCGAGTCATGATAAAGTAAGTTTATATACATTGAGCCTAAATAGAAATCCAGCACTGGGCCAAATGAGCAGATATAAACAGACATGGCTCCATTTGCTGTAAGCAGTACTGCTAAGCTATTAGAAGCCAGATGGCCACTACTAAATAGAGCCAACTGTCCTGCATCGCCTTGCAGCAAAGCGACGGTCAGAGAACAACTGATTCTTCTCCAGAGCTTCTTATGAGAAGATCAAGGAAAAAGAAAATTCCAGCTCGTAACAAATGCAAAATATTTATAACTGAACTTTATTGATCTCACATTGGAGAAATTTACCTCCACAATTAACCCATCCCCTTGGGGAGCAGTGGGCTATCATTCTGCAGTGCCCGGGGAACCGTGTGGGGTTAAGGGTGTTGCTCAGGAACCCAGAGTGGCAGTTTGTAGGAGTCAAGATTCCAATCACTAGCTTTGTATCTCTGCTTCTTTCTGAATCTTTGTTTCTGTCTCCTTGAACTCAAGTCGGCCTCGGCAGATGGCCACTCACACTCACACTTGTATGATCTGGTGTAACTGTAAAGTGCCTTGAGATCACATGTGTTGTGAACTGGTGCTATAGAAATAAACTGAATTGAATTGAATTGAGTCTGGTTCTGTTGGAGGTTTCTTCCTGTTAAAAGGGAGTTTATCCTCTCCACTGTTGCTACAAGCATGCTTAGTGTGACAATGAGTCGATGCAAACAACTGGTTTTCCTTAGATCCTTAGAAGTCTGAGCATTAATAACAGGGTTTCCGCGGGTCATTAAAAATCATTAAAAGTCATTAGATTATAATTTTTTGTTTATTAAGGCCTTAATTGGCGTTAGAATTCATTAATTCATTGTTTATTGTGGCATTTAAAATGTTTTTTTTTTATGTTTATAAAAACAATTTCGTCAGACATTATATCACGATATATATTTGCGTGGAACTGCTTCCAGTTGATCGCAAAGCTGTATGTTCAGAAAAGAAGCTTGAGTTGGAGAAAAGGCTAGTTTCAACAAAAGTGGTCGGAAAACAAGGAATTCGGGACATGGCTGCAGCCTGTCGACGGGTACCTGTTGGTGGCATTAAAATAATTTCTAAGAGCATTCAATTTGAGTTATTCATTCCTGTATAAACCCTGAATAGAACAAACTGCTCCAGTCCTTCTTAGAATTAGATATTCATTTTCCTTTTTTTTTACACAGGAACTTTTCTTCATTATTTCCACAATTTGTTGGGAGATGCTAACCAGCTTAGCCCCCATGGACTACTTCCTGTTTTATTGAACTTTTTATTGATCTCATACTGGAGAAATGTACCTCTGCATTCAGCCCATCCCCTTGAGGAGCAGTGGGCTGCCATAGTGTGGCGCTCAGGGACCCAGAGGGCAGGCTGTGGGGATCAAACCAGGTACTTGCAACCTTCTCAGATCACTGCTCTAACCTACCAGGCCAATACTCCCCCCTGAACATGCTTGGAAAAAAATTAAAGCATAAAACATAAAAATTAAAACTATATAACTCCAGCCGAATGTGGTCATATTTCATAAAAAACCTTTGTATACAACCCTGGTGAGTGAAGCAAAGGGTGGATCAACATCACACTGAATCCTACCAATGAGCGAATACTTTGGTAGCATACTGAGACCTTTTACTTTATGTCATAATGTTTGAGATTTCAGGAGTTTATTGGACCTTTAACGCCTCTGAGTCGCGTTCAAGGCCTGCAGGATGTCCAAACCCCTCATAAACGGATCATCAGGCGAACACAAAGTGTTTGAGAAACTTTTATTTCAAAGGTGCAACAAAAACACAAGGCTTCACAGTTCATATGAACAAAGGGACATTTTTTTTTCTTTTTTTTCTCCTTTTTAAAAAAAAAGAACAAAATATAGTGTTTCCTCATTTTGAGGCAACATGAGAAAACAACACATGTTGCTTTGATAAACCTTTTTCGATGCTACAATAAGTAGCTGGAAAGGAGCTGAGTGCATTGCACTTCTGTAATAGGATAAAGGAATAGCTGACAGTTTTATCAGACCAACTTCCTTTTTAATGCTTAGAATAATGCCTGCATGGAAGAAGAGACATTTTACAACATGATGAGGAAATCTCTCTTTTTCTCTGAGGAAATGTTAACTTTGGATTCACTATTTCGGGGATGAGAACTCCGGTGTCGGCTCAGATTGATTGTCCCTCAGAGGTTAGCAGTCTATTGGATGTTGCTGGCTCTGTAGTTCTGGATGAGGCTAATCAGCTCCAGTGTGTCTGAGACGTGTGGGTGGGCGTTCAGGACCTTCTCCACCGTGCTCTGGGGGAAGAGCGTGCTCAGCCGGCTCCTCAGGTCACTCCGCTGATCGCTGGGAAGACTTCTGGGCTGCACCCAGGGGTCCTGGGGCAGGCTGTTGCTGGGTCTGTGAGAGGGGAGGCCGTTGTGTGGAGGCAGAGCAGGGCAGGAGCTCCACACCGGCTGGTGGTGGTGGTGGTTGGCGGGCATCCCGATCTTCTGATGGCCACACCTGCACTGGCTGCACATGTGGTACTCGCAGCTGCTCTGGGGAGGGTAGTAAGTTTGTCCGTTTGGTGAAAGCCTCAGGCTGTTCCCGCCGTACGAGACGGACATTTGGAAGCTGCCTCTGCCGCTGCTGTAGTTGGTTGGAGAGTAATCCAAACTGTAGGGGGGGTCGAGGATGCTGAGGCGGGACATGGAGCTCCCCATGGAGCTGAAGGCCTCGTCTGCATCCGCGCTGTGGTACGGGTAAAACAGGGGACTCTTGTTTAGCTGGCTCCTCAGGTTGCTGCTGTCACAGAGGGAGGGGTCGCTGTGGGTCAGGTCGTCTCTGCTTCCAGAGGGGGGTGTGGGTGGGGTGTATCTGTGCTCAGGCTGATGTGCCAGAGCCCTCAGCTCGTCAGCGACGGCCAGCTGGGACTGGTTCACCCTCTCCGGATGGTAGAACTTGCACTTTATTCCATAGGTGCATTTCTTTCCTAAAAGAAAAAAGAGGCAAATCTGTTCAATCTAAAGTTTCTATATTCATTGTTGTTTTCTAAGACTTCTTTTATTAAAATGCTTTCTGTATTTTACAATAGTATCATGTTCACTGAAGGAGTTTATGTAGGATTAACTGACATCTTCAGAAGTGCAAACATGTTTTTTAAGCACAGCTATTCAAGATTTATTTTATTTTTTTTATTTTTAGCTCAGAACTTGTAAGCAATTCACAAATTTCAACTTTCTTTTGATTTTAAACCTCATATTTCAAACCTTTTAAAATGAAAAGGGACCAGCCAAGGGCCAGCTAAGAACCGGCCAAGGGCCAACTAAGAACCGGCCAAGGGCCAACTAAGAACCAGCCAAGGGCCAGCTAAGAACCGGCCAAGGGCCAACTAAGAACCGGCCAAGGGCCAACTAAGAACCAGCCAAGGGCCAACTAAGAACCGGCCAAGGGCCAACTAAGAACCAGCCAAGGGCCAACTAAGAACCGGCCAAGGGCCAACTAAGAACCAGCCAAGGGCCAGCTAAGAACCAGCCAAGGGCCAACTAAGAACCGGCCAAGGGCCAACTAAGAACCAGCCAAGGGCCAGCTAAGAACCAGCCAAGGGCCAACTAAGAACCGGCCAAGGGCCAACTAAGAACCAGCCAAGGGCCAGCTAAGAACCGGCCAAGGGCCAACTAAGAACCGGCCAAGGGCCAACTAAGAACCAGCCAAGGGCCAGCTAAGAACCGGCCAAGGGCCAACTAAGAACCGGCCAAGGGCCAACTAAGAACCAGCCAAGGGCCAGCTAAGAACCGGCCAAGGGCCAACTAAGAACCGGCCAAGGGCCAACTAAGAACCAGCCAAGGGCCAGCTAAGAACCGGCCAAGGGCCAACTAAGAACCGGCCAAGGGCCAGCTAAGAACCGGCCAAGGACCAGCCAAGGGCCAGCTAAGAACTGGCCAAGGACCAGCCAAGGGCCAGCTAAGGACCGGCCAAGGACCAGCCAAGGGCCAGCTAAGAACCGGCCAAGGACCAGCCAAGGGCCAGCTAAGAACTGGCCAAGGACCAGCCAAGGGCCAGCTAAGGACCGGCCAAGGACCAGCCAAGGGCCAGCTAAGAACCTGCCAAGGACCAGCCAAGGGCCAGCTAAGGACCGGCCAAAGACCAGCCAAGGGCCAGCTAAGAACCTGCCAAGGGCCAGCCAAGGGCCAGCTAAGAACTGGCCAAGGACCAGCCAAGGGCCAGCTAAGGACCGGCCAAGGACCAGCCAAGGGCCAGCTAAGAACCTGCCAAGGACCATCCAAGGTCCAGCTAAGGACCGGCCAAAGACCAGCCAAGGGCCAGCTAAGAACCTGCCAAGGGCCAGCTAAGAACCGGCCAAGGACAAGCCAAAGGCCAGCTGAGGACCGGCCAAGGGCCAGCCAAGGACCGGCCAAGGGCCAGCTAAGGACCGGCCAAGGGCCAGCCAAGGACCAGCCAAGGACCAGCCAAGGACCGGCCAAGGGCCAGCTAAGAACCGGCCAAGGGCCAGCCAAGGACCAGCTAAGGACCGGCCAAGGGCCAGCCAAGGACCACCTAAGGACCGGCCAAGGGCCAGCCAAGGACCACCTAAGGACCGGCCAAGAGTCAGCCAAGGGCCAGCCAAGGACCAGCTAAGGACCGGCCAAGGACCACCTAAGGACTGGCCAAGGGCCAGCCAAGGACCAGCTAAGGACCGGCCAAGGGCCAGCCAAGGACCACCTAAGGACCGGCCAAGAGTCAGCCAAGGGCCAGCCAAGGACCAGCTAAGGACCGGCCAAGGGCCAGCCAAGGACCACCTAAGGACTGGCCAAGGGCCAGCCAAGGACCAGCTAAGGACCGGCCAAGGGCCAGCCAAGGACCACCTAAGGACCGGCCAAGAGTCAGCCAAGGGCCAGCCAAGAACCAACTAAGGGCCGGCCAAGGACGAGCCAAGGGCCAGCCAAGGACCGGCCAAGGGCCAGCCAAGGACCGGCCAAGGGCCAGCCAAGGGCCAGCCAAGGACCAGCCAAGGGCCAGCCAAGGACCGGCCAAGAACCAACTAAGGGCCGGCCAAGGACGAGCCAAGGGCCAGCCAAGGACCGGCCAAGGGCCAGCCAAGGACCAGCCAAGGGCCAGCCAAGGACCAGCCAAGGACCAGCCAAGGACCCATCAAGGAAAGTGGGGAAATTTTGAATGGCTACTGGTGCACATTGTATGAATGCAATTCACACAGAAGATCACATACAAGTCGAATTTATTTGGAAACGTGATTTGCAACGCAAAAAAAAAAAAAATCAGATTTCACCAAAAAATCAGAATTGTGCATTATGGTCTGCAGTGTGAAGCTCAGCCTTAGAGACAGCTGCTGCTTCAACTGGATGTTTGACTTTTTGTCCTTTGTCCTCCTAAAGGTTAATGATTAAACCTGAGAGGAAGTATGTGGGGGTGTTTGGTGCGCACCCATCCCTGGGGAGTGAACATTTCTGCTCATCAAATGTTCCATCCAACATAGTTGAAACTGAGATTGCTCTTTTCTATTTTTTTCTCCATCTTAGATGTGTTTCACGTGTCTGATTGTTTCAGTTTCAGTCCTCCATGCGGCAGAATGTTTAAGCCAACTAACCGTAGGGGCAATGCTGCTGCTTGTTGTCTGGGGTCCACGGCTTTTTCCTCAGAAAGTCATCGATGGTGGGGCCGTTTCTACCCAGCGGATCATCTGGGGGCATGAACCTGCACAGCAGCACAGAGATACGGTCAGATCTGTAGCCGCTGGGGGAGAAGAACCCAGAACCAAACTCCTGTGGTGCTTACTTGTCATTGGCAAAGGTGTACATCAGGAGCCTCTCCTCAATGAACTTCTTCCACTGGGGATTCTCTGTCTGCAGGTCGCGGTAGTTATCGTTGGACACGATGATCCCGTCCAACTCCACCGCCAGCTTGATGATGTAGCGGTCGTCGTAACACACCACCCTCTTGCCGTTGACGAAGCGGGACGGCGTGTACACCAGGATCTTTCTTCTTTCCAATTCATGGAGAATCTGTTGATCTAAGAGACACAAGACGACACCGTTTAGTTCACATTTCAGAAGCCAAACTACGGCAGATTTATGAGACGACCAAGTTAGCTGATGGTTTTCTGAGAAGGCATGTTGCTCTTGGATCGGGCAAATGTTTAGCCAGCAAACAAGCCCTCTACGCCAATTATTCTGAGACGTGTTCACTGTTATTATTGTGGCAATCCAAACACGTACTAGATAAACTTTAAAGATCATCCATTGGTTTCTTAGATTTGTTCTGACATGCAGCAAAGGATGACAAATACATAACAGGATCCCTACTAACCTTTAAAAAAACATTAACAAAAAGCTAATTATTCCTGGAGGTTCTTGTGCAAACGTTGTACTGGGAAAAACTGATGGATCTGACTCATTACCCACAGCATCAAATGTCCGATTTAGTGACCTAAACGGGCTCATTCACTTAAACAATCCTGTTGTTTTGACAGCGACCTTCAGAGCAGGAAATATTGAAGGTGTGGAGTTACCTTCTTCACTGCTTCTTTGCTAAACTGCTGAAAGCTACTTTCCTGGAATAGGATCTGTTTTTGTAAACCTGATTTTAATTTTTCATGTGCACACTTCCTCGTTCTTCATGGAGTTTGAATTCAGCTTGAACCAAACGAGTTCAGTGGAAGTGGCAGAGGACGCCGTGGTTCCTGCAGCCGCCGTGCAGGAACAATGGAACGCAAGGATTGAAGGATGGGGAATTTACCTGCGTTTATCAGCGCTACACCTGAGCGGCCTATAACATGCCTTGACAGCTCAAAAGATTTTTACAGCTTGTTATAGCACTGATGAAGCTGGCACTGCTTCAAAGCGTTGCGTAAACAATATGACCTCTTTTCTGCTGTCGTATTATTCGAATGAACCTGCTTTGTTTCATCACTTTTCTGGTAAACTGCATTGTTTCCTCTAATGGACGTACTCACAATGAAAATAAGGCTTGTTTTTTTTATTTCCACAGGAGAAAATTGAACAAAACAAGTTGTTTTTCTGATTTCACATGTTTTAAGTTTCAGGTCATGAGCGTCAGAGTTTCAGGTCGGTCTCTTGAGGCCTTTTGCTCTGCTCACTGCAAGAACTTCAAACAGCTTGGAGAGGCACGGGGTGCAGCGAGTAACTCCACTCAATTCCCATCAGAATGTGGGGGGGTACGGTGAGCAATCAACTCCGAAACTTTCAGAAAATCACTTATGCATCATCTAAGCCGGTAGATTTTGGTGAATTTATGCTGCATTTACTTCTGTTATTTATTTAGGCTCTACAGGTGGGGATTAAAACGTCTGTGGATTGGGATTATATCCCAGGATGGCTGCATTGGGAACTGAGGCCTTCAAAAATGGTTGAACATGGATTCAATTTTCTTTTAAAGCTAATGTTGTTATGTTCAACTGCAAAATGAATCTTTGTGTCATTTTATTTTATTTGCTTATGGAGTGAAATTTGTTCCATTATTGTTAAATCAACAAATGTGTTTTGATTATTAAAAAAAGATAAAAACAAATTTGAATTCAACTTTGAAAAACTTCCTAATCAAAACAGCAAAATCTAAAAAAAACAAAAACAAAAAAAACTGGTTACTCTTAGATAACTTTTCTCCTAGTTTCTGGATTCCATATTTTTACAATTTCCATTAAAAAAACTTGCCTTTGCTTCCAACAATAATGGAAGAAAATTAACTCCATAGTAGCCTGGCTATCCAGACTGATACGCCGTGTTTAAGTAGGGATGGATGGATGGATGGTTTCTAAATCTTTATTGTTTCCACTTATCTGGTATCTGGGCTCACAGACCTGACTCTAAGGGATGGATGCTGTGCAGCTTTGAGCAAGTTTTGGGTTTGAAATGTCTTCCCATATATCATGCCACACTGCTTTAATACAATACATCAGACCTGTTTATTATTCTCTCCTCTATTGTCTCATCAACTGTAAAATCAACACACTGAGATCTTGAATTGCTTAACTGGCAGTAGAGACTCGCCCACAACATGAAGCGACGGCTTCCAGTCTGGAACAAGTGTCTGGAGATCAGACATATGAATCTTCAAGGCATTCTTGACAGAAGAGTCTAGAACTCTGTCAGTAAACCACCAATAAAAATGCTCTAGACTGAAAGTCCTGCAAGTGTGGGGAAGACTGCAGCGCTGAGAGACACATGGATCGGTATAAAAAAAGCATCCCAGCCCTGCGTGACTGGGCTCAGACGGGTGCATGCAAACTGAAAGGTCACTCAGCTTGATCCGGACACAGCCTCCGGGCTTTACTGACCCTCTGGACCTCGTTTAGAAGCTCACTGTGAAGGGAGGCCATGAAATATGATTAAAAAAAAAGCTTTCCAAGCTAACAAAGTCTTCCTTAGTTACAAGGAAAGTACATCTGTGTGAAGATGATAACAGAAGCTAAAAGGACAACTGGGTCTGGATTCAACAGGTTGACAGGAGATAATGTTGACATTTTTGTTACCAGGCAACCAGTACATTTAAAACCTAATCTAAAAAAGAGAAGTTAAGGGCGTTTATTTAAAGTTTCTGGCCGAATGTTGTACTCATACAGTGTGGTTCCTCCTCTCCTGCACAGCCAGGATGTGAAAGGCCTCCACAGCTCCTGCAGGGATTTGCTAAACGTGACATTTCCCCTGACAGCAGGACGGAGCCAATCCACCTCACCTGTGATGGGCGCTTCGGGCCGAGGCTGCTCCTTCCTCCACAGGGGTACGAACACGGTGATGTCACGCAGCCCTTTGTCCCAGAACCAGTTCACTGCCAGCTGGAGGCCTTGGCACGAAAACAACTTCTTGTCACCATGGCTACGGAGACAAAAGTCAGTGTCAACAAAAAAAAATCTACTTCTGCTTTTGCATTTCCTTATGCGTTAATCTCTCTCTCACACACACACCCATACTCGTTCTGCTATATGTAGTGAGGACAATGAGTTGACTTCCATTGATTTACAGTCATTTTCAACCCTTTCTATGCCCTAACCCTAAAAATAACCCTAAACCTAACCATTACCAATGCATACCTCACCCTAACCCAATGACACCTTAGCCTTAAACCTAACCATGGGCAAAATAGCACGTGAGGACCAGCAAAATGTTCTCACTATGGTCCTTAACTTGATGGTGAAATTGGAAAAATGGTCCTCACTCTGAGGACAGATACACACAGATACACACACACACCCGCTCTCCTACTGTCAGGAAACCGATGGTGTTGTAAGACATGTGCTTCAGAGTTCTTCAGGTTTCTGGCTGAGCACAGAGTTGGGTCATATGATGGAGAACTGAAACTTTTCATGTGGCCTGTCTCTATAAGGCGCTCGGCCGTGGGAACTAAAACGGTTTGCTGGCTGGACTGAGGTGCTTTTTAGAACTGAGGCATGCCTGTCATTTAAAGCTTTACTTCCTTGTACTGATGTAACACCAAATAAAAAAAACGTTTGGCAGCAATCGCTGTTGTGTCAGATATCAACTCATAACTGCATGGCACTTGAGCTGTCTCTAAAAAACAAGTAGTTTGAAGGGCTGACAACAAACACTTCCCGAAACCATTTAAACTTCTTACACTGCAAAAAATCCAAATCCATAGAAGTCATTTTTTCTTACAATAAGTGCATTTTTTCTTGAATTGAAGAGATCATGGAGATACTTTGCCAATGGAACAACACCTTTTACATTTAAAATAAGAAATAAACTATTGCACTTCTTATTTCAAGTGCATATTATCTAATTATCTTATTTTAAGAGTAAAAAATACTCATTCCATTGGCAAATCATCAAATTTACCTACTCAAATTAAAGCTTAATACACATAATTGAAGACATTTTTACTAATTTCTATATATTTTCTGCAGTGTAGAGTGAGTTTGACTAAATCCATTCATTTCAATACAGGACGGTCCTTTACTGCTCAACCTGTATTAGCAGGAATGAGCTTCTGGGCAGCTAAACGCCATCATTTCACCTACAGACGTGTGTTCACGTGTGACTGTGGGAGTTTCCCCTTTTTTTTTCCATGAGCAGGAAGCAGTGAGCTTCTTTGCATACAACAGGTATAAAGATGACACACGAGACGAGCTACCTGTGATCCACCCAGATATAACCTGCTTCATTTACCTGATGGTCTTTTTCTCTAAACCACTGTGGCTTCTGTATGAGGAAGATAACTGTCGATATGCAGAGGTGTCAATGTAAGGGTAAATGTAAGGTGTATAAAGTAAGAAACGTTTTGCGTTCCTTGTTGTCAACATATACATGGACAGCGAAACCAAGTCAAGTGGATTGTTTTTTAACTTTTTTTGGTACGCACTATATACCATAATGTTAACATGAAAGGAAAACATAAAACTCAAAAAGACTAGATTTATGTTTAAATCCAAAGCTGAAAAATCTAGCTTCCGGAAGTAGAGCAGGATTCCATTTCAAGGGATGAAACAGAAAGGATTTTAAGGCATTCATATTCTCCGGAAATACATTATTAACCTTTAACACATTATATTTTAGAACTCTTACTATTTATGGGGAGGGAAAATGCCATTTAGGTCTTTTTTACAACGTAAAATTGAGAAATCTCTATTGTTCTACTCTCTCTGCTTTTTCTCATAGTAGCTTCATCTGGTCTGTTCCTGTTTGGCTGTGACTCCATCCTGGAGAGAAATATCAGCTGTGCTGCTGCCATCAACACCTTTGATTATAGATGTGAGAGATTTGTCTGTTTTTCAGTGTAGTTCTGTTTCTCTGACTGTGACTAACTGGATGTGCTCTCTTCATCCTCTGACATGGGAGCTGGCTCGGAGCTCCTCTGCATGGCTGTGTGTTTCCTGGACAGGGAAGCTGTTAACAGCTGCCTTTTCTGTCTCTGCTTCTGTCTCCTTGAACCCCAGTCGGCCTCAGCAGATGGCCGCTCACACTGAGCCTGGTTCTAATGGAGGTTACTTCCTGTTAAAAGGGAGTTTTTCCTCTCCACTGTCGCTACAAGCATGCTTAGTGTGAAGGATTGCTGAAGACTCAATGAGTCGATGCAATCAACTGGTTTTCTTTAGAAAAAAAAAACTTTGAATCAATTTGAAAGTGCCTTGAGGTGACGTGTTGTGATTTGGCGCTGAATAAATAAACTGAATTGAATTGAATTGACCTACATTGGTTTGATTCCATCAGGATTTTGTTGGGTTTGTTTTTAATCTATGATTTAGACCAAAAAGATGAGCTACAGCTCTAATCATGATCCAAACAAAGAGATTCTCTCCCTTTTGGCTTTGAAAGGATCAAGATGGTGGCAGGCAAATGTCGCGTCTCTGACATCCTGGTTAGGTTACTCTGCCAGGAGTCATACTTTTCTTCTTCAATGTATTTTGGGTTTTATTTTAAGTTGCTTGCTATTTCTACCTTCAGCAGATGACCTACATGTTTCTTTCGTTTTGTTTTTTTCAAACCATTTCCTATAAACTTGCTTTCTGTTTGGGAAATATTAGTTTCACTAATCGCTTTGCGTTATGAGCCGCTTTTCCTCATCGGTTCCTAGCAGGAAACGTTCCACAATCTCAGCTGAGTTCCAGTTATTAAGACAGCAGTGTGTGACTGCAAGTCGACCCTAAAAGTTTGTTTGTTTACCCTTTTCTGTAATGCTCAGGGTAAATCTGTCTGTGCTGCACATGTAGGTAGTGCTGATTGTGCATTTGAAACCAGTTGCACAATCACTTCTGCAGCTTTGTGGGCGATCGTGACAAAAGTGTGAGAAACTACTACTGAGACGTGTTCGGTGGGAAGGAGACTGAAGACACAGAGCGCCTGCATCGGTGGAACTGGAAGATGTGACGTTTTTATTTCAGGGCTGAGCCAAAAACCCTGTTTCAGTTTCTCATAAGTTACCAGATTTAAAAGAAACTCTTTACCCGTTATGGTCGTTATTTGCAACCTACTCACGAAGCTCACTTCTGTCAGGTTAATGTAGGAAAACTCTGTCTAACAATCCTTCAGGAGGATTAACAACCTTTTTAACCTGGGAAAAAAGTCCCAGAGTAATTAATGCAGATCTCTTCCTTATTGGACTCACTCCATGTCCTTACAGGAACATCCCTCCTTTATTTTCGATTATTTCCTCACTATTATCTGAGCATAGTTTAGTTCTGAGCTTCCTTCTTCGTCAATCTAGGTCATGAAGATCTATCGGCCTGTAATCAGGCTATCGAGCCATTCTTCTCATGTTTCACATTCTGTGATGGTTCTAGCAGGAATGGATAAGCGCTTCCTACTTGACCCCATACCGACTTTACACGCATTATGTCTGCGAGGAAAAAAAAACACTCCAGACATTTTTTATTTTTTTTTGGTTTTCAAAAAAGTCTTTTGTTTTAATACGCCAGAATGTTTGCATTGTTTTGCCGCCCCCTAACACCATGTCGCCCTGGGCGCTGAGCCTGGTCATGGAACATCATTTTTTCAGCACTCACATGATGCAGAAAGCCCAACAATAAGACAGAAATTGGGATTACTGCCAGTTTTCAGTCTCCATGTGGAGATTAAACGCACAAGAAGAGATTATTAATATTTTTTTTATTCTCAGAATAATGGAAAATAAACTCCATTAACTGGAACAAACATGTCAGATCAAAAGTGAGTGTGAAACCGAGACATTTCATGCTGCTTCTGATGTACAGAGAAAAGCAACACATCATCTGCAAAGAGGAAGTGTTCTCTGATCACATGCCTGCACCAAAAGCAAAGATGGTTGCAATAAAACGACTCCAACGTGGTTATCAAACTACGGCTGCTTAATCCTGATGTTGGATAAGGTCTGCCGAAGTGAGGAGACACACAAACCGCTGCTGGGCGAACGCATCATGATGCAGGAAATCGTTTTTCCAGGAAGTAAATGGGGGAAAAAAAAGATTTTATTGTGATGTTAAAAACAAAAAAAGCTGTTTTGTTTGGCTTGATGATTAGATACACCTGTAGGGAATGATTCTGCTTCCTGTTCCCTTATCGCTTTAAACCAATAAAGAGCATATTAAGTGGACTGTCTGAACATGATCAGCCTCTGAGCTCCTGCATTATTCATCATCTCTAAAGTAGAAGTCAAACAGAAACATGATGCAAGCAAAGTCTGAGTTTTAAAAACTACAACTGCGGCTATTTCTTCTCAAAACATGGCAGAAGTGTTTGCTAGAACCAGATAAGTGAAGCTGACTCACCTCATGGCCACATTGCTGCCGTCTATAACCACCGGTCTGAAGCCGGGGATGGTCTCTCTGTCAGGGCTGGTCCTGGGTTTGATGGGCCCCGGGCTGCAGCCTCTGGGCACCAGCTTCGGGCTGTTTGGTCCGCTGCTGTTGCCATGGCTGCGAGTGTGGCAGGTCTTTATCAGCTCCTCCAGGATGTCATTGGTCTGCGCGTCGTGGTGCAGGCTCTCCAGCACCCTCAGAATGTCATTGTGAGAATATCCTAACTTGAGGAAGCGTTCCACTTTGGCGTGCTGCTGCTGGCGGTCCATCGCTCTCAGCTGCGTCCTCTCCCTCGTCTTCTCAGGGGCCGTCTGTCTTGGGAATCCCTCTTCTCTCGCCTCCTTATTCTGGCTGCTGCGGGTCTCCACGGTAACGGCCTGTGTTTTGGAACAGTTGACAGGTGTCAGAGAGATTGTGGGTGCAGACACAGGAGCTTCTGTCACCGAAAACACAGGAAGCACATCTGTGGTTTCTAAAGGGGTTTTCAGACAATCAGATTGTGGTCTTGAGTGCAGCGATAGAATCGGCTCTGCTCACCGCAGCCTCATGACTCTGAACGCAAGCGCAGACACCAGTTTACGTCACGCAGAGCAAAGAAAGCCCCTCCGCACCCCAAGAGAGGAAGCAATGGGGTTGGCTGTGATCTCTGCTCTAATTTTACCCCCTGACTCACTGAAAACAGCTCATCAAAACATGAATGAATGGAAACCGGGTGAATGGGCAGCGGCCCCCAATCCTTCAGTGTTTCTGTCCGTGTCTGGGAACTCCCTGAAGCTCCCACTCAAAGAGGGATCGCAGCACTCAGAGCTGCTCAGTGACTCAACTTGCAGCCATAATCAGAGATATTCTTAGCTGGAGAAAAGAAATCCTACAGCCTGGTCACACCTGGGAGTATTTCAGAGGCAGAAGTCAGACCTGAATGGGTGTGCCTTTTTAGAGAAGCATGCTGAACAGCTTCAGCTCAGCGGATGACAATCATTCTTTGAAGCTTTTAATCATTGCCCAGCTCTATCGGACGAGATGGCTCATTAGATGTCTCCGAAGTTTAGTCCTGATTTGAAGAACGAGGAAAAAACAGTCGGCAGCCTCAGAAACTAAAAATACCTGCTCAGAAAAGGGAACAAATGCTCTGTTTTTACTGTCTGAGATCTTTTATCTGACGTTTACTTCCCTGCTCTTGCACACTTTTGCAACCAAAGTGCACCAAACCACATCCTCTGCCTTCGCATGACATTCAGATCTGTCTTTTTTTCTTTTCTTTTTTTTAATCCTAAATTTAAACCTTTGCTTAACCTTGTTTGACTCATTGCTCCAACCACGGTCTGACCCCAACGCCAACTGCTCTCTGTTTGTCTGAGACAAGACATGACAAGCTGTAACAGGACTAGATTCCTCACAGAGAAGAGAGAAAACCCCTCAGCTGTAGCAGGCTCTTTCTGGTGGACTTACAGGCTTGGAGAGTGCCGGGCGGCGGTGGGATCCCTCTGTCCCCAGCTGTCCGGTGTGTGTGAACCGCTCCTGCCAGCAGCTAACCCTTCTGACAAACACACCGGTGTGTGTGAGACTGCCCTTATTACTCACCGGAGGAAGAGAGAGAGAGAAAAACACTGCCTCTAAATGTACTTCCTTGTCAGGATCTGATCTGGGATCAGTTCCTGATGAGCCTCAGGGATTTTATATTTGCAGGCACTTCCTTGTGTGGGGTAATAAACGCTTTATGAATGTGTGAGGCTGCTGGGATCCTGCCAGGGTTATTCCAAGGCAAAAGATTAAAACAAAACAAAAAAAAACATCTAGGTGTGTTTTTTCAATTTCTTTATTTTTATTTCCTTTTAGGTCCTTTTAGGTCATTGAAAAGCTTGGAGTGAATGCAAATCAACACGTCCTAAGGTCACCTCAAAGGATTTGTTAACCAAAGAGAGCAGATCAGTTCAATTCTAATTTGTTCCTTTAAATTGGACCAGTTTATGATGAAATCCATCAGTGCAGGCCAAATTTAAATAATATACAATCCTCTTTTTGCTGTTAAGTACAGCAATAAAGCATTGTGCCCTTAAATTAGGAGTTCGGATTATGTCTTTGATTTATGTCACATGTAGTAACAGAGGGCCCAGAAACCAATTCATCATGTTTTTAATCAAGAGTAAAGAGTATTTCAATTAAATTTCTCCGTTAAATTCAGTTTATATATATAGTGTCAGTTCACAGCACTTCACAGACACAATTCAACAAGATAATCCAGTCAGATTAGATCATTCAATTCAGTTTATTTCTATAGCACCAATTCACAACACTTGTCATCTCAGATCATCCAGTCAGATTAATTCAAAGTTTTCTATCCAAGGAAAACCAGTTGATTGCATCGACTCATTGACTTGAAGGCAATCCCTCACACTAAGCATGCTTTTAGAGACAGTGGGGAGGACAAACTCCCTTTTAACAGGAAGAAACCTCCAGACTGGTTAAAGTTTGCCTCTAAGGAAGAACCAGCTGATCACATTAAATCATTTGCAGGATTTGCTTCTACTGGATGAGCTACAGTAGACATTAGTTTGTATTGTGCCATTGACTCTACAGCAATCCATAACACCGAGCATGCTTGCAGCAAAAGGGGAGAAGAAAAACTCCCTTTTAACCTCTTACACCCTAAGGGGGTATAAATAAATTTCTGCCTGACAAAAACACACAAAAGTAAATAACTTATAGCCTCAAAGCTATTAGATTTAAGAAGAAACTTTTGGTATGTCTGTAAAGGTAAGATGTCATAGAATGGTTTTCTGGTTTCAGCACCATTGTAGCTTTGACCCTGCCTGAAATATTAGGGACAAAATACAAAATATTTTGCATTTTTTGAACCTCGCCAAAATTTTCTTTGAAATAAACATTGCAAAACACTACCAAAATATTATGTATAGCACAAAAAAGTAGTACAGACTTTTAAATCTAAATGTTGTGTAAAAATATACAAAATGTGGACTCAATCAGATGAATCATATTTATTTTAGAATGGTATTAGTGAGAAATTTCTTAGGCGGAGGGGCCAGTTTGGCACATTTATCCATAAATGTCACCAAACTGTGCCAAATATGTTTTTTACATCAATACTGGGGGTTTGGTAAAGTTACGAGGTCATGTAGCAGCTGGACCCGCCGGCGGGTCCGTAGGGTTCAAGGGGTTAACAGGAGGAAAACCTCCAGCAGAACCAGAACCAGGCTCAGGGTGCACTGCAATTTGCTGAGTCCAACTGCGGTTCAAGGAGACAGAAGCAGACAAAAAAAACTGACATAGAAGTACTGATCTATAAATACTTTCTATGTTAGAAAGGATAACAGTTAAGGGGATCTGTGTAGGAGAGAAACACTTAAGCAAACAGCCGCTGAGCCATTTTGTTAAACAGAAGCAGGCCCGGAATAGATTTAATCTTTTCATTGGCAGAGCCCAGAAATAAAAACACTCGTATCGGTTTAGTTGGTTTTTGGGACATTTACATCTTTACATTTGAATCGACATCTTTTCTGAGTATCATGGATATTTGGTGGAAGCATGAAACATGTAAAATGCCACAACTGGCTAACATTTTAAAAAGTTTGTTTGTATGAAAGGATTTTTGTTGGTTTCTACACCAGCACCGAAAAAATGGGACCATTTAAACCAAAATGAGACTGTTTCTATGATTGTTCAAGACAATGAATGCTGTTTGAAGGTCTGACCACAACTCACCACCACTGGAGCTAGAACATCTGTATATTGGTGAAAAATGTCAGGTATTATTACTGTAGAACAGAGAAAATAATAAACAGCCTGATGCTGTGTGTGCTAAGCATTACTAGGCTTCCTTAATAACTTTTTATCCCCCTATTATTAACTCCTATTATAGACTGAGTTGTATTATTAATAGGATTCAACTAGGATGTATGTCATTGGATGTAAATCTGTCTCTAGAAGAGGATTAAAGTTTATTGAAGTTTGTTGAGCTATAAAGAGAATGAGCCCAGAAATACTAGAAAGTAAAGAAATTGCTTGATCATTTACTGAGTCCAGCATTATATAAGAGTCTCTACAACAGGTCAGGTCAACTCCTGGGTCCTATTTACAGAACAGAGTGGTCTACATTCAATAGATAACGGCTCAGACAACCGAGCTGGGCATCTCTAAATTCAAGAGCTGCAGTACTTAATGCATTAGGCATCAAAATGATAATATAATAACCTACTCATAACTTTCCCTCATCTTTTGCAAGAATACAAAACAATCAAGCTACAGTAGCAGCCATTCAAAATGGACCTTCCCAGTCGAACGCCAGCCGAATGGCTGCAACTCCCAGTGAAATCCCCTCCAACTTCCAGGCTGGATTGACCCCCTTCTTGCATATTGTTTTACTCTAACTCCACCCTTTCACTGAATTACAGGGTCTGACCAGTATGGCAACCCGACGTCCCAGATTTTCGCGGACAGTCCCCATTTTGGACCACCTCTACCGGCTACACCTGTCCCCGGAAATGTCCCAGATTTTACCGTTTCATGAATGAGGGGGGGGAATGTTGCGTGTAGACTGTTATTATGGTAGAAAATGGTGTGACCATGTTGCAGGCAGAAAAAGCTATTATGGTAGCAATTTTGCGCTGCTTTTAACATAAAAATGAGGAGAAGAGTGCACCCCTTGTTGGACTGTAATGATCCTGATATTGATCCCGGCTGCCATTAAAACACAAAGAAGAAAACTAGCGCACCACTTTTTAAACAGACGAAGAAGTCAAAGCGGAAGTTCGTTATCTTAGATACGATCTGCATGATCTGAAAATAATGGAGTGAGAGACAACTACCTATCTAATGTTCATTTATTATGCTGTTTTTGCTTCTAACTCCAAATATTATCCAAAATAAATATTAATTTGCACTTTTAGTATTTCAGATAAGATTCAATTCAGTTTATTTCTATAGCGCCAATTCACAACACGTCATCTCAAGGCACTTTACAGTTTACCAAATCATACAGCCAAATTGATTCAAAGTTTTCTATCTAAGAGATTGATTCAAAGTTTTCTATCTAAGGAAAACCAGTTGATTGCATCAACTCATTGACTTGAAGGCAATCCCTCACAATAAGCATGATTGTAGCGACAGTGGAGAGAAAAAAACTCTCTTTTAACAGGAAGAAACCTCCAGCAGAACCAGGCTCAATGTGAGCGGCCATCTGCCGAGGCCGACTGGGGTTCAAGGACACAGAAGCAGAGATACAAAAGGCAGCCCCGTCCAGAAAACACACAGTCAGGCAGACGAGCTCCGAGCCAGCTCCCATGTCAGAGGATGAAGAGAGCACATCCAGTTAGTTACAGTCAGAGAAACAGGACTACACTGGAAAAACAGGCCAAGCTCCAACATCTAAGGGGTTGATGTCAGAAGCACAGCTGATATTTCTCTCCAGGATGGAGTCACAGCCAAACAGGAACAGACCAGATGAAGCTACTATGAGAAAAAGCAGAGAGAGCAGAACGTTAGAGATTGAACTAACAGATTCTGCAGAGTGGGAGAATAGAGATAGAATGAAGCAGAATGATGAAATAGGGGTCCCTATGTCCTCCAGCAGTCTAAGCCTATAGCAGCATAACTATAGAGATAGCTCAGGATAACCTGAGCGACTCTAACTATAAGCTTTATCAAAAAGGAAGGTTTTAAGTCTAGTCTAGCGCCAGTAAAGATACAGGATAAAGACACAAATGTAGATAAAGAAACAATGAATTAACCAGATCTTGGTTAGACTAAAGTCAATCTCCCAGATTCAACATTTTGACAGTGTTGAAACTTTGTGTAGTTATAAATTTCAAACTCTGAGTAAAGATAAACAGTTTACAGAGCTTTCAAAACTAAAGTTACAGCAGCTAGCTAGCTTAGCTTAGCCAGAAGCTGCTAAAACAGGAAGCTAACTGTAACTTTATTTATTCTAGATTAGCAAACAGAAGGGAGGTTGGTGGGGGTTGTCTTGTGAGATTAAAATAAAACTAGTGTTTATTATATCTAACTTTGCATTCTAGTGCCTGTGTTCTGTTAGATCAGCAGACCCATAATCAATACACATGCACAAGACGTCAGATTATGCACTTGCTAGTCCGGATTAATCATTTAGTTTATCCACGTTTAGTGCATTAGTTCTGTATGAAAAATATACTTTAAACTACCTCAATGGGCATGTACACTAGAAAAACGATCTACAAATAAGTAAAAATCTCTTAAATTAGGTGTATTTACCTTTAATTTGAGGAGGTAAATGAGATGATTTGCCAATGGACTGACAATGCAATTGTGTTTTCTTATTTTAAATGTAAATTGTCCTGTTCCATTGGCAAAATGTGTCTTTTACCTCCTCAATCCAAGAACAAATGCACTTATTTTAAGAAAAAATTACTTATCTAAGGTCAGATCACCGTACATAAAAAAAAAAAACCAAAAATAAGTAATTAAATTGTTTTTTTTTTCTCGACATGACTATAGGGATAAACACCTGTTAAGGTAGTTCAAATTGTATTTTTTGTACAAAACTAAAGGGATAAACAGGTATTGACTACACTGTAAAAAATCTAAATCTAGATAAGTCATTTTTTCTTAAAATAAGAGCATTTTTTC